CGGTTGACGTGAGCGTCCGATGTTGGAAGCAGCCAGCGCTGTTTGCGACTGGCGTGGCCCCAGCTTTGGCTTTGAGAACCGACTTCAGTGACGACTCTATGTTGGATGCTATGCTCGTTAACTTTGTGATCTTCGAAGAATGAGCTGTTATTCAATGTAGCACGAAGAAATCATTTTAATAGCCCTGTCATTTGTCATTTCTGACTATCAATATGAATACGATATGCACTAGAAAACATCATCGATGCGTTCGTTTTCAGATTAATCGACGAAATATGCCTATTATGTTTGACAGACGCATCTTCAGACATGGAGGAAGTTGAAGACGTCGCCACCTCTGCACCAGCAGAAGGCAATGAGGGTTGGGCGGACGTCATGTCCCGGCTCCTAAGTGCACCAGCGCCGAAAAAGAAGTATGTCATCCTCTCAAAGGCCAAAAAAGCGTTACCAAAGGATGATGCAGAGGACGAACCAGAAGAGGAAGCCTCCGATCCGGGCTTCGATGTAGAAGGCGCGGAGGCAGCGCCGATTGAGAAGAAGAAGCGAAAGACTGCCAGGTCGCATGCGGCGAAACGTAAAGAATTGGTTGAAAAGCGGAAAAAGGTAAGTAAAATAGTATTCGTTCATCGCCGATTGATTTAAATTAAAATGGAAGCTCAGCTAGTTTTTTTTTAATTCGCGCAAGCCTCACACGTAGAGAATGGCATCTGAAATGCAAGGACATAGAGCTTTTATTAAGTGTTTGTTGGCTTATCGAATCGAATTATCTTTGATATGCTGCGTGTAACACCACGTATTTTTCAGCTCAGAGAATGGGAAATGATGGGACGAAAGAAGCCAGACATTCGAGAAAAAGATCGAGAAAGAACCTTGTGCAAAATAGCAACACGGTAAGTAAGCAATAGCACTGCGCTCTGCAAAGCAGTAATATGCATTGTAACGTCCATGCATGATTACGTCATTAAATTTTATTTGTAAACCGTAGATCTGGGCGTGTGGAAAACAAAAAAAAAATCGTTAAAGGTAGTGTGCCAGCTTTCCTGGACCGTATGGAGTTAATGGCCCAGATAAGGAGAACCGGATTTTTAGAACTTATCCATACCTTCAAAACTCATGGAAACGTCTTAAATTCTTCAAATTTTGAGTACCCCAGTGCGAAATTCGCCCCGACGGGTTGTCGGTCGTACCCCAACCACATTTCACACCACTATGAACAATAAATGCACACACTGAAATCGCTATTACCGATATGCTCATCCAATCAAGTTTCGATAAACCCGTTCATCATCATCTCCTGCGGTTTCGAACACGCCTGTTAGGTGGTGCGGTAGACCGCGCCCAAAGCTAGGGCCCCGGTAACGTGAGGTAGCCGAGTCGGGGCAGCGTGCGCTGACCCAAGCCGGGGCCGCGCGTCCTCCCGGTGTCATGTGATAGCCCGGGGCTGCCCGCGGGGATGCGGTAGACCGCGCCCAAAGCTGCGGCCCCGGCTTGGGTCAGCGCACGCTGCCCCGACTCGGCTACCTCACGTTACCGGGGCCCTGGCTTTGGGCGCGGCTTCTGCTCATACTTTGTGGTGCGGTGGTGGTGCGTCGGGCCGCGCGCTCTGACTTCGGCCAAGAAAAATGCGTCAGCTGATCATTGTCATTTCTGCCACTTGTGTGTGGTGAAATGGGGTCATAACTTAAGAGACGGCTTTTTCATATCAATTATTTTACATAAAATCATATTTCAAACCATAAATAATGTTCGACAGCCAAATAAAAGAAACAATACCAATACAGGCTTACAGTTTAAGGCTCGACATTGTGTTGTCTACGATTAGACAGCTGATAACTCATTCCCGTACGTCGTAACTCTATAATGACCTTTGCTTATTGTCACATGTGCGCCGCATTCGCGATTGTTGCCGACGCCTGTTTGCAGCTCAGTCCACTACAGTTGTTATACATATCGAAAAACCGATAAACTTTTAGGCGAAAAAGGCACTATTCCAGGCCCATTTTTGATTTTTTTTGCGATATTAGGTAAAAACAGAAGCTTCTTATCCTAGGAAAAATAAAATGGAAAATCTTTTAAAGGTGGCACACTACCTTTAATGCAAAAAATGGGTTATTTCATTTTGTATTGAATATTGAATTAGTAGAAAATTGTACGTGAGCTGAGCTTGCTGATTTGTTCGAAATAATTTTCTTACTATTTTTGTGGTGTTAATTCTTTGACATCCTTGAAATCCTGCGCTCAGCCCTATTCTACACGACCCACGCTACCCCCAATTTAGCCCGGATGAACAGAGGGCTGTTCACGGGCCCTGTGTGCGGTCGTACCGCACACAGCCTCCAAGCTCCGCCCACTGCGTCCCTACGTCAGCATTCCGTCACCGCACACAGCGACCGCTGTGGCCGGTCGGGACTGGCCACAGCGGACCGTCCACCGCACGCAGCCGTGACGTCAGAGCCGCCTACCCATCCCCTACCCCCACGCCTGCTGGACGCAGCGGGCCACCGCACACACCGCACGCAGCAGTGTGCGGTGCCCGTGAACACCCCTCCGGTGGTACGCTCTTCCCACCACGGTCCGCCCACGGGTGGCTGATGACTCACATCACCGTTCTCCGATCCGCCAGTGGCGTGGTGCAGCTGTTTAACGCCGTCAGGAAGCAGCAGGCCGAGGTGCAGAGCCAGCTGAAGGAGGCCGGCGGCTCCCTGAGGAAGACTGAGAAGGCCCTGAAGGCGGTCAGCAAGCAGACGTTCATGGACCGGCTCCGGGATGGCGCCGATGCCGAGCCGGCAGAACAGGTGGGACACGACACGGCACACTTCGGAGTAATTGGTGGCGCCTGCTATGCTGCATGAGGCTTCGATACACTCACAGGATTTCCGTTTGCATTGTTGTTTACTTTGTCGACCTTAATGCAAACTGTATTGTCAATAATATTTATGTGGGACTATTTAAGGACATCAGCTATGCGCTTAAAACGACATAGTATCATGACAAGACATGGCAGAACAATTACATGATCAAGTATTTCTTGGTTGCAATACTGTCAACGGCGGCCGCTGAGGCCCTGTGTGACTCACTGCATCCCTCCGTGTGTCCTCAGTCGGCTGAGTCGGGTGACCGGGCCACGTGGAGTGTGCTGCGTGACGACTACCTGCCCGAGGCCGGCCACAAGGACTGGGACCAGGACAGCGACGCGCAGGAGGACAGCGGCTCGGCAGGCGACTCGGACGACGATCTCTGAGCGGACGACGGGCTGGGCTGGGACAAACTGTGAGCGGACAGCTGGTTGGGCTGGGGATCAGTCATCAGTCATCACTGCACTGACCGGGCACTGCGGTGCGGCTGTCAATGTTGCGAGCTGCCGCGCCCCGGTGTCCCTGGTGCGATGGTGTCAGTTGTCTCCTCGGCATTGTTGGCTGCAGATTGTATTTTACCTGTATGTGCTTTTTTGCAGTAATATATGACCGCAAATGTATTTGTCTTGAGATGTTTTGGGCAGGCAAAGTATTAACCCGCGCCCTGCTGGGGGGGGGGGGTGTTTGAACACCCCCCCCCCTTGTGGTTTTTCGCGAATATCTCAAAAACGGCGGCGCGGAGCGCCGCCGTTTTTGGTACACCTTATCATGCATCAATTCTACACATGTTGTGAAAATTTCAGACCAAGGTCATTCAAGGTCAGGTCACCAGGTCACTTGAAGTGACCTCACCTCATAAAAAGTTTCAATGTCTGTCATAGCTACACCGAGTGACCGATCGCTTTGAAACTTTCAGCGATTGCTAAGAGCAATAGCATGTACAAAATGTATATCTCAGAATTTTGATATCGATGACCTAAGGTCAGGTCAATTTTGCGACCTCCCCATTATAAGTCAATGGGAGAAAATTGAAATGCGTCTCTTTTGGACGAAAGACATTATAAACACTCCCAAACACTGAATTACAAGTGGTTTAGACACACTGAACATGAAAATGGTGTCCGTGACCCCTGTTTATGCCCTGAGGTCATCTTAGGTCACGAATGGTATCTAACAGTTTTTCGCAAATAACTTTTGATAGAGGCATGCTAGAGCGATGAAAACACCTTAGATGTGTTCAGCTCGACGATACGTATCTACTGATATGCAACATGACCCTTTCCGGTCAGGTCATGACCTTGACCTGAGGTCAAATTTTCAAGTTGACCTTTCAAGGTCAAGTTATAGTTCATTCGATGCGTCTTGACGAGAGGAACACGATGCCGGTAAAAGTAAGCTCGTACAAGGCTTGGGTCAAAAGTTATTGCAGAAAAACTGTTTCCGAAAAAATCGGCTATTTTTGCAGTTTTTGCCCCCTGCAGGCAAAACCGTTGACGTTAGGTCAAATCTGAGAGAATTACTCAGAAAGGGCGTTAATAGGGCTATCGAATGCGCTTTTCCGCGGCGCTGTAGCTCTATTGGTTCCCGAGTTATGCGTTGGCTTCTTGGAAATTTTCGACATTCGACCTGGAAATCGGCGAAATTTTGCCTTCAATGACCTCTGGTGACCTGACCTTTGACCTGACCAAAAAATTGACCGAAGTGATTTCGTCATTATTTTTGACGCTCTTTCGAACGCCGCCTTCCGCGTATCGCTACGTGGCCCAGGAGCCGAGTTAGAAGGGGGGGTGTTCAAACACCCCCCCCCCCCCCAGCAGGGCGTGGAAATCCAGGACCCCCAGCCGGGCGCGGGTTAAGTAACATAACGTCAATGATTTACTACGAGGTCGGAGTTTCGCTTCGAAATGTGCCGCATATTCTGAAACCCTAGTACCTACTTGACGGCACGCATTTGGAGAGGTAGTGTCACGTTTGGCTTTTTGACGAAATTCTATTGCAGAATGTTGATGGTGCTCAGACCGATTCTAAGAACTTCAAGTCCATCTATGCAAATTGGAGACCGTTCTGGGAAATAACCTTTGAAGTCCAAGCCAAGCGTCACACCCCTTCGGCGATCAACCAATTAGACTGAACTGAGAGGCGGTCTGGTACAAAGTGCATCATTTATTGACATTCAACAAAATGAGTAAAAAACACACAAAAGGAAAGACACCGCACTCAACAAAAGATCCAACAAGCCAGACAAAATGCCCTGTTTCAAGTACATTCTGGGTGGACAAGCAGCCAAGACGATTGAGGAAGAGACTATGGATCAATGCTTCCATCCGTCAGTTACATACACCGCATCCATGAATTAACGAACAAACGAGTCTTCCTCTGATTGAGATCACATCACTAAATCGAGAAGTCGACGATAACTATCATCGCATGTTTAATCACAAGGGTTTATTGCCAATGGTACTCGTACTGGAAAAAAGTGATCAGCCCCATATGTAAATGTATCACAAACGACTTCATGACTATACAATGTTCACAAAACTTGATTAGGAGATAGGAATACAAAAATTGGTTTCACTCACAACATATACGATATGACTAAGGCACGTCCTTTTCACGGCACATCTCGCAATGCAGTGACCACAGCACCCTGAACGACCTTGCTCGGTCTCAATTTCACACTCCGCAATTTCAGCAGACCTGAATAGTTCTGCATTTGACAGCACAGCACGACTAGATAGCACCAATCCTGAAATAACTCGCCACACCGGTAACGCTGACCACATCCCTACCACTGTGTCAGAGCTCCACCACCATCCTGGCAGCCCGTCGCCGCCGTCTGCACACGGCCGACCACAGCTGCCCGTGCAGCAGCGAGGCCAGCAGCAGCAGCGTCAGCAGCACGGTGGCGACGCGCAGCAGGCTGCGCTGCCGCTCCCACTCGCGCAGCTCGCTGACGTGCTGAAACCGGTTCCGATAGTTGGCTGGCAGCTCAAACTGCGAAGGCCGCGGGAACAGCGCTTCGAGGAAGTCGACCAGAAGGGCGTACACCAGTCGCGTTTCGGACTCGGGCGCAGCGCCCACGTTGTTGTTCAGGCAGATGAATTTGCGCGGCGCGCGACGCAGCGAGTCGAGCGCGCCCACCAGCAGACTAGAGTTGGAGCGTACCATCGTGAACGAGACCAGCTCGCTGGCGTCGACCACGCGGTGCGGGTAGCGTGTCCGGTTGCCCAAACTACGCTCCATTTGCGTTGTCAGTTCGGGACAAGTCAGCACGGCCTCCTTTGTGATCACCGGGAGGTTCGAGTCTAGGTAGCGCTCCCCGGGAGGTGTGGTCAGATCGGCAGCGGCAGGCACGGCCTCGGCACAGCTGCGGAGGAGAGCCCACATACGATCCAAGTCCTCGCGTGTCAGCGGTAACACCCGAAGCTTCGTCAGGAGGGTGCGAATCTCCCGGTCCGACCAGGTCCCCGAGTCATCGGTGTCGATGGTATCGAAAATGTCGCCCACGGGAACCCTGTCCCGCTCAGACATCAGGAAGTAGAAGTACGCAAACGCGAACTGCATGTCGTCGCCGGAGCGGAGTCGCGCCGCCGATGTCCTCGCGAACTCGTCGGCAAACGTCGCCTGCAGGTCGGCGATCACGGCGCGAGAGAACAGGTGTGGCATGTGCGCTACCGCTCGTCGCTGCTCCGGGCCGTAGCGCCGATTGTAGAGCCGATTGACTTTGAGCAGGCTAAGGCCATAGGTGTCCAGCTGGTCGACTGGGTTCAGGTCATTGCCGAGGTAGTGACGTTCTTTGGCAGACAATTCAGAAATGGGGCGGATTCCTTCCGGTTCCCAGCGAGAGTTATTGCCTAGTTCGAGGTCCACAAGATGTTCTTCTGAAACGGGAAGCGCAACGGGGCGGGCACCTAGCAATCTGCGCCTAGGTACCCGATTAGTAGATCGATTTATACTCGGGACGGCGGCAAGGATTCGTTCAGACATGTCAATGGTAGCGTTCACGGCGTCAGCTGCGAGTTTTAGAAGTTCCACTCGCTGCCTCATGTAAGCGCGGTGATCGGGGAGACGGCGTTCGGCCGCGCTGAGTCGTCGCTCGAGGTCTGCATTCCATTTATCAGAGCTCTCGACAAGCTGCTTCAGACGTGCGGCTTCCTCAGCCACACTCAGGGACGCCTCGGCTTCCACTCCAGAAGTTAGATAAAATTCGATCATTCTCTCCTCATTCGTCCCATTTGGTCCCCGCACAGTTCCACTGATAAACACAGGCAGTCTCCCGAGAGTCGCATTCGGGCGTAAGATCGCGACTAGCACGGCGAATCGGAGCGTGAGGGACATACCGCGCAGCGCGTGCCGAGGGGGAGACGACACCGCCTCTGGCTGCAGTCCCTCCGGCAGCTGGCTGGCGTTCCAGTAAACTGCCAACGATCCTGTCGGGATCACGTACTCTGCATCATCCCGGAGAGGCCCTAGATCGGGCAGCGAGCGCAGTCCGGCCACGCCACAGTCTCCCAGGTCATACGCGCATGCCGCGACGTCACAGCTAGTGTCGCAGAAGTGGTCACCGAGCCAGGCGTCCTCACAGCCTGTTGAACAGAGTTCCGGCGCACCTAAAGCCGCGAGCACAGCGTCATCGCTCATACCCGCATTATGGTCTACGTCCTCGTCCGCAGGATCAGGTGCAGGACTTGGCTGCAGGTTCGGGTCGACGCCGACACAGTCGCCAGCGTCCCAGTCGCACGACTCTGTATTGCAGGCGGCGTCACAATGACCATCGCGCAGCCAAGTGGCCGAGCAGTCCAGGGCGCAGTCGGGCACGCGCCACGCGAGGAAGACGTTATAGCCGCCGCCTGGAACAAGAAAATCTTCCGGCCAGACAGGCTGGCCCAGCAGAACATCGTCGTTGAAGTACAAAAAGTGTTCCGAGAGTCCTGGGATCCGATGAATATGAGCTTCAATCGCCGGACTGGAAAACGTTGGCAAGTGATCATGGTCCGGGAAGATCTCCTCATGTGTGACGAGCGTCAGCTTAGGGTTGTCCAGCGCCAGCCAGTCTGGAATCTGGCCATTGGTGACCAGAAACACGCGCCGTACCCAAGGTGCGTGCCGTTCCAGTGACCTCAGGGAGTAGCGCAGCTCCTGCGAGTCCGCAAAGCGACTTAACGATACCGCGTCAGCGGCTGCGTCCGTCAGCCACATGAGCCTTGCTCTCAGGGCCTGCGCTGTCCCGTTCTCGGCCAATAAACGGTCAGCCACGGCGGCGTCCAGCATTTTGAGCACGAGCGCCCTCCCGTCATCAGCACGAGCCACCTCCTTCGCACCAGTTTTCTGCACATCCGCAACCCGCTGCAGAAACGTCTCCTGAATCACAGTTCGTCCGATCAGCACAACGTGATCAGAAACAGCAGCAGACAGAGCAGCGCTTTCGTCCCAAGTCCAGAACATCTGATGTACGGTGAAGTTGTCCTCATTGATGCGGAACTCTGTACCGCGCTGCAACACGTCCTGGGCTTCGTCTACGCTGGCATAGACGAGCAAAGTGGCAGGCGGACCGGGAAGCGGCGAGGGAAACATCTGTCGTGGTGTGGCGCCGGACACGAAGAAGCGAACGTCGCTGAGTGTCATGCGGCGTGGTAGCGGCGGGACGACGCTCAGCTGGGAGGAAAGCAGGCAGTTCGGCAGGGGGCAGTTCTGACGCCAGCTGGCTGGCGCCGGTTGTTGCAGATGTGACTCTGTTGCATGCAAATCACGTTGGAACTGAGGATCTGAGCCGTTGACCCAAGTGTACACAACATCTACTGGGTGGATGGGAAATGGTTGATTGGGAACTGGAAAGCCAAAGAGATTGTCAGATAAAATAGGCTGGGACGGGCAGAATCCTTCACCCAGGAGAAGCCATCCAATTATTAAAGATGACAACCAAATGGCAAAAAAGCTTGTAAGGGAACAAGCTGTGTACTTGATAGACATGGTGTCATAAAAGCATCTTTGCATGGACTTCAGTGAAAATGCTTTTGCCATTTAGTTTGTTGCCAATTTCTTGATCATACAAAACAATTCAGGAGTGCTCAAAATCATGGGAGCTTCATCAGCTTCACCTGACGATCATTCATCTGTCAGCCATTGTGATGGAAAATCCTGCAAAGGAAAGAACAGTAAAATGTAGCATTCAAAACAGATCTAGCACATTTCAATCAGACAGAAGCAGAGAATGAGGCTTTTGTGATAATTCATTATTTATTAACCATTCTCATTCTAACCGAATCTTTGTCATTTGTTTTATTAGTTTCCAAGTGGCTTGAACAGGACATGGCACATCATTTGTCATGCTCTGAAGCATAACATTATCAATATTCAATTTAAATTAATTTGTGATGTGTCAGTAAAAACAGGCAAGGTGCAATGTGCAGGCTGAATGTGTGTGCCTGAACATCATATCAATATCATATTTTACAATTAACTTCCATTTTACATTTATTGCCCTTGACCTTGGAGAAACAGAAAGGCACCAAAGGAAGATAATGCAAAATCCACAAAATAAATGTTTAACTTACAGCAATATAAATAACTACAACTATTCTCACAAAAGCTAACAAAAGAAACAACCATCATGAAAATAGTTCATTATACTGATACACCCACCCTCACATCGCCAGGCCAGCTCGAACTGAATCACAACTGAATCACGTAGAATGGGTAGGTACTTGGGCTTGGACTTGGAAACACTGCTCGACGGTCACAAGGCCATATATAAGTTCAAGTTATTACTATAGTTACTAGTGGTGCCAATTTCATGAAATTTCAATTCCAATTCCGATCCAATTCCAAGAAATTGCCAAGTAAACTTCCAATTTTGTCCAAAGCGGGGGCTATTACAATTTTTACGATTTTTGCATTTTTTGCGTAAATTTTAAAAGTGTTTAAAAGCGTTTTAAAGGCCTCCGTTTTAAAATTTAAAATTTTAAAGGCCTTGTGTTCCGATTAATTTCCAAAAAATGTTAAGAATTCCGTCCAAATTCCAAATTGGAATTGGACAAAAATTGGAATTCCAAGAAAAGAAATTCCGATTGGCACCAATAATAGTCACCGTGGTTATTACTTGTTTGGGAAATGGGAATCACGGAATCACATGTTGACAACACAGGGGGGCAGGCCGGAGCCAGCGGCGCCAATATTGAAAAGGTTGCGTACTGATGCTGATGCTGATGAGGTGGTCGGGCTGTCACCTTTGCATCGGTAGCCCTATAAACACAGGTCGGGTGGGAGGGCTTCAGTGGGATAAGCTTAGGATGGTGGTTAAGCCCTTTCCTCGTCACCCGCCTCTGTCACCAGTTTTCTTCTCAGCCTCCAGAGCCGGTAGAGTCCGTCCTTGTTGTGCTCCATCTCTTCTCTGTCATCGTTGAAGAGGAATGCCTTTAGTACCTCGTTGGGTTTTCCTACGTGCGGTCTCAGAAGAGCTAGGATTCGTAGTCTTTCTTCTGTTAGCTTGGTACATTCGAGCATGAAATGGACTTCGTTTTCTTCCTCTTGTCCGCAGAGCACACAAGTCGTGTCTTCCTCTACATGTCTTCTTCTGGCTCGTAGTGGTAGAGTGTTGGTCCTGGCTCGGAAGAGGATTACTGAGGACGGTGTGTTGTCGTATATCGGGTCTTCCTTTATCGTTTCCTTGCCTGACCGGTATATGGCTATGCTGGTCTTAGCTTCGAGTTCTTCTTTCCACTGTCTGTCATCCCATTCCTTTATACGTTTCTTCAGTGTAGTTTTAGTCATTGTCTCCAGTTCTGCATATTTCGAACCAATGGCGTCTAAGTATTGTTTTGTAGTTTTTGCCCATATGCTCTTCTTTTTCTCGAGTTCTACGTGTACTACTCTTCTTATCAGGTCATTACTTCCTTGAATTATCCCTCTTAGGTACTGTAGACCGTGTCTCTCCATCACTCTAGTTTTCATGAGGGAGGCTCCCACCTCACCTCTGAGTGTACAGAGGTGAGCGTAACGATTGTCAAAGTATGATTTAGCACAAAAACACTGCAAAATCGAGGGCAAAAAATAATAGAACTGGGATAACCAGCAGAACCATGTAACACACCAATAATTATCTGCAAAAACTTAAAATGCATGTATACTTTGCATGCTGCATAAAAAAGAGCATTAAATAGCCTGTCATAGAGTTTTGTATAATCGGCTTGCTTGCAAGAACTTTCGGAGTGGTTTTGACCAATTCATTGATATTTGAGTAAATCAAGCTATTTCATCGGAACTCTATTCGACATACAGCATTTAATAACACATCATATTGGGGTAAACTTGAAATCCTACAAAAGACTTGCTTGTTCAAAGCACAAACTCGTTTCTATTTTTGTCTGTTCTTTAGACTGTGTTTCTAATAGGGCTTGGGCTTGGCGCAGTTCCCAACACAACAAAGCCGTGTTCTGCGCGAATAATTCTCAAAATAAACTTATATAGCATACCTACCTATGTGTTACAAGGCCCTATGGCCCTGTTTCACCGGTGATAGCAGCACGCTGCTATCACGTTTCGCGAGCTGACGTCATGTCATGACGCCATACTGTTGACGTGATGGGCAGTTCCGGCGCACGATTGCCGCGACCTTGGCCGCGGCATTAAAGGAAATAGTTCACTTTTTAACATGGGTTTTGAACTGGAATAGCAGTTCCGTAGCTTGGGCTGAGACGAGCATAAATCAGGAGCTTTTACAGCCCAACGATCACCCTAGGCAAAGATATTCTATTTCTCGTCCCGAAAAAGGTGTATTGCGTTGAGGATGTGTGCCTTGCATATATTCGCATCCAGTATGAAAAGAGCATGGGTCCCGAAAATTCTTCAGAAACTAGTGAAATTATCTACGAGAACTCAAGAGAAATTCTCGTACTGATCAATAAGGATATTCAGCAGCAGCAGATCGCCCAAATGCCGGTGGCCGCGATAATTTCTCTAGTTTCTGAAGAATTTTCGGAACCCATGCTCTTTTCATACTGGATCGCCTGTGCCTTACAGAAACTGAAAAGTTCTTCTTATATCAAAATATAGAAAATAATCTTTTGTTATAAATAGGTTTTATTTTCTTTGCTGATCATTTTGAACATAAAAAATCATAAATCCATTGCAAAAAAAATAATTTCGTGAAAGTGAACTATTTCCTTTAAGTGACGTATGAGCCTTTAAAAGTAAGAGTTTATGCAGTCATGATAGTATATTTATTTTCAATATATATTTTTTTAATATGATGTATTTAAAAAAAAGTTGGTTTTAAGGAAAATTTGGACGTAAACTTCGAACATTTAGTTGATGACGTAAAACAATATTGCGGCAATCGTGCGCCAGAATTATCCCTTACGTCAGCAGTATGACGTCATCACATTACGTCAGCTCGCGCAATTTGATAGTGGCGTGCTGCTATCACCGGTGAAACAGGGCCCTGATGTGTTAGATCATAGATGACTCACTTTGACTTTTGAGTCATATTTGCTTGGACATTTGTATCATTTCTTGTTGTCAGTTTGCACCTTTGTAAACTTGGTAGCACAGTTCAAGTTTTGGCAAACCATGACTAGGCTACTGGAATAAGAAATGAATTTAATTAATTTATCTTAGGTAGATTTAATTAATTTATCATAGATACCTGTGTACGTAGAGTTACAAGTTATGACAATAAATGGGCATGGAATCAGTTTTCTTCATTTTGGTGTGCTCTCATATATCATGCTTTTGCCTTCTAATGACTGGTATAGGTTAAAACAAGGGTCATTCATGTCATGTTTTTTTTTTTACAAAGACAAAGTACAAAAGTGTCAGCTCAGACTGGAAAAACATGTTTTTGTTGCTTTGTCTGGTGTGACAGGTGGATTGCACCAAAATTTTGGCGCAGACCCCAGCATATTTGTGTGTGCCAAAATTAAGGCACATGGGTTGATGAAGAAATTTAGGCACAAATGGACAAACTAGAAATTTTGTTGTAAAACGATGTTTCTGAATCTGGGCACTGACTGCTTCTCAAAGTGGTGCATCCATACACTTCTCAAGGGGTATGGATTGTGGGTGGGCAATGGCTATCAGATCATTTACTTTTTCCCCATTCCAAATTTGTGTTCAGATTCAGATTGAGTGTTGTGATTTTCAGGCAATATTTGATGTGTGCTTGTGTAAAATTCTAGCTTGAACTATTTGGTGTGGGCTGATGCACATTTTCCAGTTTGCGCCAAATCCCCAATGTGCCTTTTGTCCATTATATTTCAGAGAGAAATACCCAAGATGGCAGGCTGTTTTGACTCGATGCGATTGGACTGCGAGTGTCTGGAGCTGGGCGAGCGAAGGAACGCCGTGGCTGCGGCCGTCAGTGGCGTCCTGGTAAGATGGGCTGACCCAAGGCTACATGAACCGGCTCACCCCAGCGGCATGTGGTTTCACGGACTAGCTGCTCTTACAATCGGTGAACATCATCTATCTCGGCGCTCCGGCTCGCAGGGATGGATGAGTCGGTTGGTGGTTGCTAAGTCATAGCATCTAGTGGGCGTATTATAGTGAAGCTGTTATCTCGACATTGACAATGTGTTAGCCGATGATCTCGAAAATAACCAATAACATTGTATTGTAACCCGTGCTGACATGCTAACAATTTTGTCAGAATTTTATGACGTGTCTTCTAGATGATTAGCTGCAAGAAGCATGCTTTTGCCGTGCTAACTAGTTATGCCACTTCTTACAGTGTCTGTACAGTTAAAGTTCATCGAATCCAAGCCTAGGAAAACAAGATGGTTTGTAATTATCACATTGTATTTTAGAGTGTTTCATGTTTTGATGACGATAATTTTGCTTATTTCAGTTCTTCACCGGCTGGTGGATCATGATCGACTGTGCTGCCATCTATCCGAGCATGGAGGAGATGCACCACGCCTATCACGTCTGTGGAGTGATCGGGACTATATCGTTCTTCATGTGAGTGCGCTGTAAATATGATGACGCCGAATTGTGTGTGTTGTCTATATTGAACACATATATAACTGATGACATGAGACAAGCGCTGTTTGTTACATGCCTCGTTTTCCTTCGAACTGTATCTCCTACATTATCTTTTTGAGCATTTTGGTAACTTCACATACGTTGTACCCTTCAAAATGTGTCTCTACAGTCTTGAATCTTGATGAAAAATAAAATCTTGAAAATATTTGCCCACCACAATCATGCTCGCCTTCTGACCGTTCCCACTGCTTCTTCTGCATAGGATAAACGCCGTTTCCAACGGGCACATCCGCGGCGACATGTACTCGACGGGCTGCCTGGGCCAGCGCGGCGCGCGGGTCTGGCTCTTCATCGGGTTCCTGCTGGGATTTGCTGCCATCATCGCCGCCATGTGGATCCTGTTCGCTGCCTACGTTGTCCCCGGTAAGTGTTCCTCGACGGAGTGTACGAAGGGGAAGGTGAATGCTGGGTCAGTTCACACTTCACTATTGGTCGTGCGCCGTTTTGGTGAAACGCGGCATGCTTTCGAAGTGTTGGTTGCATAGCCATATTTTATAGTTATGTGGTGTTCAATTGTTTGATTCAACTAGATTGGCAAACTTTTAATGGTCTCCGTTTTTGTTGTTAGATATGGGTAAGGGTTTGCACGTATTTTGGGGAGAAATTACTTTTACTGTACAATATGTTTAATTTGGCATAATCTTCTTGATTCTCAAATTAACACCATACTTTCGTCACTCTACTTTCGATTTCGCTGCGACCGCTCTGCTGTTCTTACCGTTTCCCTCGTCCCTGTGGTCCACCTTCTGTTGGCTGTGCCATCTGACCCTCCCTCCTCCCTCCCCCAGGAGGCAGCCGGTCCCAGTGGCCGGGCATTGCCGTCGTGCTGCAGAACCTGTTCATCTTCGCCGGCTCGCTGGTCTACAAGTTCGGCCGCTCGGAGGACCTCTGGGGCTGAGCGACGCTGGACGGCAGTGCTGCGGTCCGTGCCGGTCACCCGACGGTCTAGACAGGCTCACGGGGATCGCCGGGGTGTCCTCGATCGCCGGGCTTTCCGCGTCGCGTGGTGGACTCTTCGAGGACACTGGCGGCTAACCTAAGATCTCGCGTCTGTCGGGGTCCTCTTTCTCGAGCGCTTTGTTTCACGCCGGTTTTGTGTCAGAACTGTGTTCTCAATCCGGGGGTCGTCTCCCGAGCGCTGTTTAGCGGAGCTACCCGGCTCATCTGCGGGTGCTCACTTGGAGATGATGGCAACTCCGACTCGTTCGACCGGCCTGGTCACATCTCTGGTGCTCACCGGTCGTCTACCGCTGGACATGACTGCCCCAGTGCTCCAGCTACGGCGTGTGTTGTGCGCTATCTTTACCGAGAGTCGATCTGGCTGATCCCTCCGCAGTGGGAGCGCCCCGACGACGCACGGACTCGCCGGGTGGACATCGGTTTCGTACCGTGAGAGATCGGGACTATTGAGAGTGAAGTGCGGAGTGTTCACCGTGGGAGCCGGGAGGTGTCTGATGGTGCCTCACGTTGGATATGTCTTTGGTTGTATACTACCAAAGGGTATGTCTGCTCTGTTGGGGGTCTCTTAACTAGGCTAGTCCCCTTGAGGCTGATAATGATACTAGGCATTGTATTAATCGTGAATGGGATATAATGTAACGGAGATTGGCATTGTTCGAATTGTGAGGGAGCTTGGATTATTCGAGCAATATTCGACGGTGTGAAGGGTCTATTGCTTTCGTGTAAGAGCGTCAGAGTGAATATGAAGCAGCATTCCCTTTTCGGCGTTCTTCTTCAGACCTTCCGTAACTTCGTAACCATTTGTCATATATGCCCCTCACTGTCTTTGATTTGCGCATCGGTGCAGATTTAATTTTATGTATAAGAAGCTGTAGCATCATAAGCACTAAGTATGAGCACGAACCTGTTAATCGACAACATATTTAAAGTTTTCGTTTACTGAACAGCTTCGGCGAAATATCGTGTGAAATAAAGCAACATGGAGACAGCCCTTGCTGTGATATTTGTTGCTGACTTTGATTCGTTCTGAGAAGAAGCGACTCATTGCGAGGCGGTTACATGAGCAATGAGCAATGAAACTCAGCTGAACTGGTGTTGCTCAATTGAATGAAAAGCCACCGGCATCGAAAAAATAGCTTCACGCACCGAACACTGTTGAGTGTTGATAAACCTTTTATAAGTGAGAAATCGTGTACGAGTCGCTTCAGGAAATCTGAGGGATTGCTGTCCCTCATGCTCACTCGCTCTGTAATCATTCTGCCCGGAGCTTTCCCAGTATATAAATACGACCGAAACATGCCAAAAAAAAACTTTGTATTGTATTGTATCACCTTCATGGACAATCCACGCGGGTCGTGGCGATTAACTTTCAAATGCTATTGAAGTGGCCAACCATCCTCCCCTTGTTCTCCCGACGCCTCTCCTCCCCTACATCGGAGGACGTCTCACTCGAGGGCCGCACGTCTCGTCCGCCGCTGTCGCTGTCGGCTGTTCTGTTTACGATGCGTCAGTTCGGGCGCCCTCGGCTACCATGGGCCGGCGGTGGCGTCCGGAGGCCAACCAACACTGTCGGTTTGTCCGGAGACGGTCAACAAACAGTCGCCCCGGGGCGGAGAGGGGGGCTAATTGACGCTGGCTACTGGGACGGCTGACGGCAGCCTCTCAATGACTGACTGACGAGGGAAGACGACTGCCGGTGACAGGCAAAAGGGGTGGCACAGGGAGGTATGACGGGTATAGATTAGAAGGATGACTGAAAAAGGTAGGATTGGTTGCGAATTCTTTTTGCTTTTTTTCGTTATGGTGTTACACGACTTACATATGAATGCATCGAGCTTTGCATCCTAATTGATCTCCCGTCGAGTTTGCGTATAAAGTATTGGAGTTTAATACGCTATGCTAAGCATTACTGCTTTGTCCCATATGCGTTAATGTTTAAGAGCCAGCAACCGTGCAGTCCTTGGGGAAGGCCTTCGCCGGCCGCACGAATGTCACCCACTGGCCACTACAGCCAGCAAGACATTCATCTCGTCATTCCACCGAAGTGCCGTTGTGGCCGGTTTCCAGACCAGCCAGTGTTGACCGTGTCTCGCCGGTTGTTTGAGCTGCTCTGACCCCACCGTTAACCCGAGCCGGTGACCTCTGTTGGCTATACGATCCAGGAATCCGATCGACCATCCATCGGCACGCCACAGAAGTAGATAGCGCCGCGCGGAATGTCGAAAACGACTGCCGTTTGTCGGCCCAAACAGCCGGACCAACAAAGCGGCGGCCGGCGCCGGCCGCACGCATGGCGCCACTTACAATCGACGGACAATCGTCGGCACAATCGCCGCCGAGGAAGCCTATCGATGGCGTCAAAAGCGACGCACGCCGCCGCTCCGCGCGCCGACACAAAGTGTGAAGGGGTGGTCATTGACGCGGCATCTTTGCGTGCCCTCTCACCTGGCTGGGACTGGCGGCGGTGGGGCAGGAATGTTACCCGGACCAGTGTCGCCGCGGCGCCTCTCATTGTACCCATAGAGTCACGGAGTCGTGGTTTGGTTCCAGTCGCGCCGCCGCTCTGCCATCCGCCGGCGAATCGACACAAAGGTGTCCGTGTCCCCGAGTCCTCGCCATTCAGACGCGACGGCTACCTGCCGGTTAAAGCACGCTCGATTTACCTCGAGCCATGGGAACATAGCCTGTTTTTGGCCACTTCTGTCCCTGGGAGTGTTGAAAGACGGCTGCTGTGGAGGGGGAGGGGATGCCACCCGCCGGCAGAGCGGGGGAGGGGAGGGTCGCACGGCCCCAACCACACCGGGGTGGCGACAGCACTGAGCCACTCGTGAGTCCCGGCGATGGTTTTCTGTCAAAACACGGCTTCTGTGCGTCGAGCGGGTGGTGTCGGGGTCTAATCCTTCTGTCTACAAGCGGTCACAACCGATGATAGTGGGGTGCTTTGTTTTACCTTTATGCTGTCGTCAGGATCGAATTGATGCATAGCTGTTTCAGGGTGTGCTTGCATACTTGGTAACCGCATGTTACAACATAATTTCGTGCGGAGCAAGTCCCAATTGTGCACATACCTCAGCACTAAATAGCTGTAATAACAAGCTCGCAACGCAAAGCTGCTCCACGTTTCCAGTAACAGCAAACGGGAGAGCCGGGCAAATTGTACGGTTCGGTGCACAGAACAGCTATAAATTGCTGCGCATGCCACCCGTGCTGTCTTCACCGTCCCTCCCTCGCCGATTGTGCACTGATAGTGCTGGCGATATCATGTCGCATCTCACATTCATCTGGACCAGTGCATTTAATTGCTCTCCAGTAAGGCCGGGTGCGTCAACTAGGTAGGTATATTTCGGGTACCTAATCCAAGCAATTTCATAGAAAGTAAAAATGGTGGCCAGCCAATGATTGTTTTGTTCTTTGATTGAGTGCATATACCTGCCTGTAGGTATAGGCACCAAATATAGAATAAAATGGACAGGAATGGTCACCATGTAGCTCTGCCCATGGCAGGCGTATAAGGTGAAACAGTCAACAGACCACTGTTTATGTCACTTTTAAGTGAAACGTTCTGCGCTAGATTTTATTTTTCTCCGGGACTCTGAAATGTTGCTGTCGTTCGTTCACGACAAAAGCCATATTCGGGTAGGTAAGTGCTTGCATTTCCGTAGATAAACGCACACAATTAATAGATATAGTGCCTAGACAAACGATTACCCATCTATGTAGGATCTTTACCCCCAAGGCATCACAGAATGCCCTCCTTCAATGAACAATTCGCCTACCACCTCCGAACGACCACTTGAAATCGGACGGGCAGTCTGATGGAAACCATTGCTATGGTAAAGGTAAGTGGTGTTACACATTGCGGCATTGAAATACGGCGATGGTTTCACGATAATATAAACGTTGCCGCCTAGTAGGTAATGGCTGATGGCGGCGGCGGTTGGAGATGAAACCATCAGCCAGCGGGGTTATCCGCGCGTGCGCCGAGCAGCACCCGAGGCTGGTTTATGGTTCAGTCCGGTTGCCCTCGGGACAGAATCACTCGGTCATAAATCGGACCCGGTTAGTGTGCGCTCCCCGAGCTGGTCCCGATCGCTGGAAGATTCCATCACCTAAGAGCGCGTGAGGGCAGGGTTCATACGGTGGAACGGACGACATCCCGGCGGAGCAAGCGGCAACGCAATCTATTACATACTGCATGGTTCGGAGCTGACGACCTGCGTCTCCTCTTCTCGGGTCCTAAGACTAGTAGACAGCCCTCTCACAATTTTAAAAACATAGTACCTACTGTTCACTGAATCAAATTTCAATATGACAAGTCTGTATGCAAAGGGGATTAACACTAACCATGTTTTTTTTTTCGAAAGAGCTGTGTATATATAAATATTGTCGTAATGCCTATAATGTATGTACACTACACACGGCGATGCCGGACTTTGCGTGTTTTGTTGCGTTGCAAATTACGCAGCCACGCTTTTTTAGCTATTTAGGTAATTACCACGGCGGCTGCGTAGCTAAGTAGGCACACCACGCCCTGGCATTACATTTTTTCTCAGAAATCGGAACAAATCCACCTCTCGATCTGGAATGCATGTAACCATCGCCAGCAGCGGGGGTGGACCGCCGCGCCGGGCGGCGGCGCTCCGTCATAACCCTTCACTGCCATCACCGGTGGCACGCAGGGCCTGGGTTGGATTGCAATTGGCCCTCGGCGGCGAGCCATGAGCACTGAGCAGGGCAACAGTCGGCACGTTTACGACCGCCCCCGGGCTCCATGTTGTGACGCGATGACGTTTACGGCTGCGCGAATGCCGCCCTCGACGCGGTTCGGCCTGCCCACCGCGACGTTAGTCATTAACGAGCACTGTCAGACAGTCTCACATATACCAGACAGAGAGGGAGCGGCCGCCGCGTCCGGCGTGCGCCGCGGCCATGCGCCTCGTAAACGCCGCCTGTCGCGTCATTCGCCGCGTTTTACATCTATGGTCTCGGACGATTCGAGGGAACGTAGGACTTGATTGGGCCGGCTAGGTCCGTCCCAGGGTCGGTAAAGGGTGTCTTTGTGGCGTCACAGCACCGCCGCTGGAGTGCGCGACCCACCGCCGGCAGCCCGGCCATAAACCGTGCCGCGGCGCGGATCGTTTGGACATACGGCCGGCCTCCGCGAATGGCTCTATTCGGAACCGGGACAAGGTAGACAGACAGCAGCCGGGCCGGCGGGGGACAATTCGACCGGCAAAGTCCTGGAAACGGACTCCTATACGAGATGAAGATATATGGGCTAAGGACGCCCCTTGTTTAGTGGATGACCGTAATTGAGGCGGGACAAGCCGCACGACAGCGCGCTGGCCGACATGGAGCTTCCTCGTGGCCAAGATTCTTGCCGATGGTGTAGGGAGTTTTATAACTATCGCCTATCTGTGGATACGAAGGCCGTGTAATTTGAAAATTCAGCATCTCAAAAGTGAAGAAACTAGAGCCGAGTCAAATGAGCGACTGCACCGCTTGAACATGTAACGAACACGCTCTTTTCGCATAGGAAGAATGGCGAGACTGTGCGAAATTTAGTGTACACTGAGAAACACATTTTAGAACTTATACTGATAGTACTCACCTGAGTACCTTCGATGGTTTCCATTTTGCCGCTTTGAGGAATTGGTCTTTCCCGAGAACTGTGCATGGTCTCCACTTCGGTTTCAGGAGTGGATTTGGTCTTGACCGAGATAGTTTAGTACTGGAAGTTGTCTAGCTACCCGTGTAACGCAAACAGTCGGTCTGCGGTGAGATTCGAACCAGCAGTCATTCGGTCAGAAAGGATGGTAAACTTCTCACTTTTTTCCTTATAGTTCTCGCAGCTGACGTGTTTTGACGACAGATGTCAGCACAGAAGGAAACTAAAGGCGTAGGTGGCGCTGTGTTAAGAGTAGAGCAGTTTGAAGTGCTGCGATTCCATTTTCGCTTAGGAAAATAGCAATTATTGATAAAAATAAA